TTGGCAACACTGTAAACGAGTCTTAAATGGGCATCAAAAAAGGCAACTTTTTCCTAATTTAACCGATCTTGTAGCTCTTACCGTTTCGGATATAGCAATAGTGGTATCTCTTAAAATATACACCCTGTATATACAGGGTGTTTCCGAAGTACGGTTCTTTAATTCAGGATGTGATTCCTCACAATATTTTAAGAAAAAAGTTCCCATAAACATGTGTCCGGAAATGCGTAGTTTCTGAGATACAGGGTGTTAAAGTTTTAGAAAAAAATCGTTTTTTTAGCTCAAAAATCCCTTTCCAGTTTTTTTTTCAAATTTGGTAGGTTTGTTTGTGATAACGAAAGGTATCTTTTCACTGTAATATGACTTGCTTAATCTGAAAAAAATATCAAAACTTCAAAAAAATAGTGACGTTCTATTTTTTTTTCTACTTTTACCAAAAAACCTTGTATATTTTTCAATTTTCTCACCATCCTATACATGATATTTCAAGTTTCAATAGTTTAATACTATTTTTTCAAGAAGCAGAAACTTTTATAAAGAATAACTTTTTTTCATTAAATTGATAATAAAAAAGTTTCCCATAGGCTGCAAACTCAAGTGGACACACTGTATAATAATAAATAAATGAAAATTAAATTCTGAATTTAGGTACCTTTTGCTCTTTACCATCTATCTTGTCTAAATTATTCCTCCAGGCCCTGTCAACGTGCCACGAGCAAAAAAGCCTAAAATTTTAATAAATGGTTAATATAAGAAAATAGGTAAGTGCTTGGTTTCATCAGTTTATTTTACCTGAATGTTGCTGGACACATAATTTGGACCCATGCATTGTAATAACAATTTGCCATATCGGACATAAACACATGGGGTTTCACGGCCCTTCCCAATTTGTCTTTGATCTTCATAAAAAATATAGCCATTATCTCTTCATCAGAGCGATTTGCAATCATAAAACAACAAGGGAATCCCTCCCGCATATCATCTAATACCAACAATGTTGTCAGCTCAAAATCATGAGCATTGAGTCCGTGCGTACCGTCAATACAAATCACATCATCACCAAATTGTTCCAAAATCTCTAGTTGGCCCGGATGCAGGATTATTAGCACAAAGTCCTCCTTTTTCAGGCCAGAAAAATCTTCACTCAAGATGCCCTGTGCTTTGTAAAACAAAACAATTCCACTATTTCCATAGTCCTGGACCCAAGATTCGATACTGATAACTTCATTTTTATGCCGAATTCCTTCTGAATTTAAATTGAAACATTGTGATATATTGTTAAGGTCTTTTCTAGTTAAGAGATGTATCCTTTCTAATTCATTATTTGTAATCGAATCTCTTATGTCATCTAATATAGAAGCCAGAGGTATTTTGGATGCAATTTTGCTGGCTATTTCCATTTTCTCATTTTTAGAGATGTTTACATGACCCAAGTCATTGTCATGGCCAGTATGAGTTTCAATAAAATTTACGTTAACAGTGCCATTTTCTAATAATATAACTTTCATTTCAGAAGGACATAAGCCATTTATTTTCCTGCTTCCCTGGGTTTTTAGGTGCCTCACACCACAACCCTTTTTTATATAAAATCCTGTCCTATGGCAAATATAGGTAGTTTTCCTATTGCCTTCCCTAGTTGTGAATGGTGTCCCATATATGGCATAAAAGGAATAATTTTTTTTTTCCAAATCAGCTTTCCAGTTTTTAAACTGTAATTCACTGGAAAAGTGTAGCTCATGCCTTTTTATTTCAATGTCATGGTATTCTTCTAAATGAACAATTATATCAGATTTCAATGCATTTGTATAAACACACAAACTACATTTGAAGAGTTGTTTCTTTTTTTCATTATCTGTTACATGAGATTTTTGATGTCTTCTAAGATTATATCTATGTGAAAAATTTTTGTGGCATTCTCTACATTGATATGGATAAATCTTAGGTGAAGTCAACTCATCTACATTTGCTAAAACAAAAAAGAATTTTGAAAAATGCTCCTACTTAATAATTATAAGTACGGCCATGTTCAACACACATTTTTTTTAGTTACTCTATTACCAATCTATAGTTTATTTTTTCCCAAGAGAGATTTTGGCATTGTCAACTTTGAAACATAAACAATGCCGCTAATGCCGCTTATTGGTCGCTATTGTAAAACTGATGTCAACCTGCAGAAACACCTCATTTTACGAATAATTAGGGTCAAGCATTATTGTTTATGTTTCAAAGCTTTCAATGTCAAAGTCTATCTTGGGAAAAATAAAGTGTAGCAACGAGGTAGCAACAAAAAATCCAAACTTACTTAGGTAGTATTAAGTATTAGATACTTTTACCATATATTTACCTACCTGGATGAAATTCAGTAACGTGCCTCTTTAAATTCGAATATTTAGCGAACCTTTTTGAACATTTGTTACATATTGCGACACATTTGAATGTTTTTTTTGGTGCAATTACGTTGAGTTTATCTGAAATTGCGAGAAACAGAAACCGTTCGATTAAAACATGAAAATCATTATGGTTAGAAACCTACCAGGATGAAATTTTTTCAAATGAGCTCTCAAATTAGATTTATTGGAAAAACTGACCCGGTGACTGCACTCAGTACATTCCATACTTTTTTATGGTATCTATATGGTATTAATAAACGATAACACAAACTAAACAACCTGCTTTTCGATTCGAAACTTGAAACGAGTCACCAATATACTAAATAGTAAACGTAAACAAAAAATCAAGTCAAGTCCGTTAGAACCAGACAAGGAAAAAAGAGATTAGAACATAACCTCGAAATCAAAGGAGCCAGAGTGCATTTTTGTCTGTAGCCGCGAGTCGCAAAAACTCGTATTCTGTAACGCCTGGTGTAAAGTACATAGTTACAGCGCTTCATTTATAGCACTCCTAACATCGTAGTAATAAACGTAACGTAATATTTTTGTAATTTGACAATTTTTGAAGTTGAAATATTTTGGAATAGGTGTCATATCTTCACCCTCTATAGTTCTCCTGGTATAAATCAAATACAAAAGGCCTTTACGGAAACGCTGAACCAATTGATCCATTGAGGTAGGATTGACCCGATCACAGTCTGTTTGTTTTGCACCTTTCTTCAATGAACGCGATTGAAAACAGACAAATTATAGCAGCTGGGTAACCGCGTTAATCCATTGTAATTGGATCAGCTTTTTTGTAAAGGCCTTGGGTGTTCCAAGACTATGGAAGAGTGTGCGGCTTCAGAATTGGTTTATATAGCCATCAAGAAACGCACAATCGACGAAGAATAGAATTGAGAAAGATAATTATACTCGAGTGATTGCCTATGATGAACGGCCTAATCTGTATTATTTCCATAGGTAATTACCTAATATCTCACTCAAATTTATGGGATTTTGTCCGACAATTTTTTTTTTTTTGTTGCATACCGTCAAAAATGTAACAGTATGTCCTCATTTCCCGCGACGTATATTTACAGTAGGTGTGAGAGTATTTTACAGCGCGATGTAAGTTACAGAATTCCTTTTTCGTTACATCCTTACAGCTCTCAAAGTTACATCCCTTACAGTACGTTACATCGCATACAGAATCGCACCATTAGTTAGACAAAATACGTTGACGCTAACGTAAGATTTGACAGCTGCGCATGCGCAGTTTCTTTTCACAAAAATAGCGTGTTACGTGTCACGTTATTTAGCGAATCTTTGCGTGTTCCTTATCCGTAAACGTTCCTTAACCCGAGTTGGCCCGAAAGCCAGATTGCCGTTGGCGACCTTTGCCGAACGTATTTTAACCTTAAAAAAAAGGTGTCATGTAATTCAAAATAATCAAAATACAAAAAATAATTTCTAATTTGTACTTTTCACAACAAAATTCAGAGGTTAGGTCATGATTGTGAGATATAACGTTAACGTTTACGTGAAAATTTAACTTAAACTGACTCAGAATCTTCCTTCTGAAGAGGTGCAGGGTGTTGTCATAGTGGTCCACGGTTGTACAGGGTGTTGTCTGGTGTTGCTTGTCCCTCTTTAGTTTTTAGGGTCATGTATGTAGTTATAGAATGTTTTAGTGTGTAAGTTTTATTAAGTATAGGAATATTATATAGGTATTTATAGTATAGAATTATGCAAAAATTTTAAAGATTGTAAAACCAAAATTCATTAGCTGTACTTTTTTTTTGCTAAATAAAGAACTTAATAATAATAATATTCAAAATGGCGGTCTCATTTTAACGACATTCAAAACAGCGACATTCAAAAAGAGCGGCAAATCAAAACAGCGACTTATCAAAAGAGCGACATATTGAAACCGCGACATTTGAAACGACGACATCTAAGCAAAACAGCGACATATCAAAAGGGCGACATTCAAAAGCGCAATACTTTAAAACAGCGACTTTGCAAAAGAGCGACATATTATGAAAAGAACGAAATTTAAAACAGCGACATTTGAAACGGCAGACTTACTCAAACTAACCCGAAATAACCCGTCCGTCTAGTGCGATCTCTGGTAAGTTAGCATTTTATTTGAAAAACAAAGCGAGCTCCAGGGACGCTTCTCTATAACTAAATTAACTTTGTCAGGCAACGTCAGTACAAAGCTTACTATGACTGTATGAAGAAATTGTTGCTATAACATTTTTTATGATATCTTGAATTGTCAACATCTCTTTACTGAGCTCTATCTCTAACAGTGAACAATCTCTTAACGGGCTAGCCCATTAATAACCTGTCCCCGTAATGCGTGCTAAACCTCGAAAATATGTCAATGTTAGGTGTTGGGGATATATTAAATATTTAGTTAGGGCTAATAATTTAGTAAATCCCCAACGCATATTTTATGTAAACGTGTTTTTTTTTTTTAGATTTATAAATCATTTGCGCCAAATTATTTTAGTAGAAACTATATATTTAGACACTAATTTAAACATATTGTAGGAAATTCAGTCCAAATTAGGTGTTGGGGATATACTAAACTATTACCGAAAATACTTATTTTTTTTATAGACATTAATAAACCTACAATGGTCCAATACAGACGGACATTTAAAGCAAAACATAAAATCCATATTGGAAATGAACCTAAAGTCTCATTTGTCGCCCCATTTGCGCAACAAATATGCCAAGCTTCTAGTGGAAATTGCGAAAATCGATTGGCCGGATCAATATCCCAACTTCTTTGACATTGTTTTGCAAATGTTAAAGTCTTCTAATCAACTAACAGGCTTGATCCTATTGAAAACGCTTTGCGAAGAATTCATGGGCCGCAATGCCACTTATGAAAGTTTGAACCGTAAAGAGAAAATCAAGGAGTTGCTTTATAATTACATTCCAATAGTTTTTGATTCGTTACATGCCATTTTGCGTAATGTGGGTAAGCAGTTTTTTGATGCATCACTTTTATATGGGTTTTTGGAAATTTTTAGTGGGTTTTTGACAAAATTGAGCCTGATGAATAAAATATAAGCAATTGCTTATTCTTAGGTTTTTGGAGCAATTGCTTCTAATTATATGAATAAAATGGTAAGCAAATGCTAGAGCTCTAAGTAATTGCTTAGAGCACAAGCAAATGCTAGGAGATACAGCTCTTGCTTAAAATAAACAAGGTTTTGCTAGAAACTGTATGGATAAAATTAGCTTTTGCTACATTTTCAAAGCAATTGCTTACAAATAGTTAAGGATGCCCTAGACCATACTTAAAATAATTTTCAGTTGCGGTATTAGTTTCCTGCAGTGTGCAAGCGTTTCCTCACCTTTTACAAAATGGCCGAATGCATATATTCATACAAATAAAGTGTATTCTGTGAGAAGGAATTGTCAAGAGTGCGATTTTAAAAAACTTTATTGGTTTAATAAAGCAAATGTGGAATGGTTAGCTAATTATTTTTTAGATTATACAGGCGAAAGACGTGGAGGAGCACTTTTACGGCTAACTAAAATGAAAGTATTTTCGCAATCTCTAGTAGATCCTGGAGCGGAGGAAATTGGAATAGGTACACCAATCCACAATTTGCAAGATCCATGATATAATGTTATGAATTGCATCCTGAGAAAATCTCATGGATGGATTAAATGTTCAGAAAGTATTGCTGATATTAATGATGCAACGGCAGTGGTCAGAAAAATATGCATTTCCAAATGCAATAGGTGTTAAAGATTGCACGCATCATGTCAGAATACCTAAATTCGAGTTATATATGGGGATGAATACATTAATAGGCCTTTCAGCCATCAATGTGCAAGCAACATGCAACGCTGAAGAAGACATGTTCACTAGTGTAGTAATAGAATTTTCAAAAATTTAAGCATTTATCGTTCTTGACAATTCTTCTGAATAATGCTTACATGTGATGAGGGATATTACACCTTGGTTAATGATTCCATTGAGAAATCCTGTCACCCCAGAGCAATATAATTACAATAATTTGTTTTGTAGAGAACGAGTTATCTCTAGTTTGGTTTTATTTCGTCGCCCTAGTTGTGAATGGTCGTAATCCACACATTGTTCATTCTTGAGTTGTGACTGTTAACCTTGCTGTTAACATACTTAAAAATGTTTAAATTTTATGTTGGTGAATAGCCAGTGATCAATATTTGACCTTGTTATAGTATATTTGCTAATTAAAAAGCATATTTTCACCAAAAACAAAAATTTTAAATGCACTTTACTCACAACTTACCTTGAGTGGATTACGACCATTCCATTCACAACTAGGGCGACGATTTGTTAATTTTATAGGTAAGCAATTGCTAGAGAGATGTTGGATAAAGCAGCATTTGCTCAAAGATTTTATTCATATCAAAATCTAGCAATTGCTTTTACTTGTAGCATTTGCTAATAAAGCAATTGCTACAAGTAATTGCTTGATTTTTATTCATTAGGATCATTGTATGTTTGTTTCGACAGTTTTGCACTTAGACTGTGAGCATACTGTGAGATAGGGGCTGGTTAGTGGAGTCATTTTTTTTTTGTCTGGCATTTTGAGGGTTGAATTTGGCTACTAAGCTGATGAAAATATGGGTGATTTTAATGCCTGCCTCCTGTTCGAAAATTTGCAGAAGAAAAAAATTGATTTTCATGAGGAATTTTTTTTCAATGATCTCAATTTTTTGGCTTCCAAATAAAAGATTGACATTGATAAATAATTCACCCATAAAAAATACCAGATGCCTTTCAATAGCTGAAAAAGTAGGGATGAGTGTCAACTTCCAAGAAAAAAGAAAAGAACCTTCCGCGTTTACTTTTTGTCCGGTAATCGAGAGAATGGAAGGTTTTGTTGTGAAAATATCCTGAAAAATCGCCAGACGGTAATCCCAGTTCGAAGTCGAGTTTTCCGGCGAAACATTCTGTGGACATTTCGAACAGGTGGCAGGCATTAAAAACACCTATCTATATAATATATAAAAATTAATGGCATTTTTCGTTGTAATTTTATAACTCAAGAACGGGCTCACCTAGCGAAACCAAATGTTTAGGCTTTGTTCGGACTATTTATTAGATGGTTTATGTGAAGTTTGCACAAAATCGGTCGAGCGGTTCTTCATTTGTCACATTTTTTGTAATAAATGAATTATTCAATAAATGGAGGATCATTTTGTTAATGGGGATTTTGCTGTCAAATTGAAACTTTTTCAGCGTTGACAGTACCAGCATGTTGTTATGTCATTAATGTAGTCATTTCATATTGTTGTATTAGGAGTAGAAGCTTTACTTTTGCACAAAAAAGTGCTTCTACTCCGTATGCAACACGCTATTTTTTCTCCAAACAAATGGGGTAAGCTCGGGGGTAACTGATTGGTTAAGCGGCAGTAAAAGTACGAGCGGCACTAAAAGTACTTTTGCTGCCGCTGGGGTTGCCAAGCAGCATAGAAATTGAATTTCTACCACCTCGACAGGTGTTAACCTGCTGGATTTGCCTACCAGCATAGAAATTAAATTTCTGACATCTTGACAGAGGTTAACAAAGTGGCGTTTTTTTGACGTTTGGAGAAAAAATAAATTGTCAGCAATAATTATTGCTTTATGTTTATATTTTTAAACATATTGTTGAGTGCATTCATACAAACGGTGAGTCTTGAATTGTTCAAATCTATATATGTCGTAGGCATAATACAATTTCAGGCTTTTTATAAACTTCCTAGGCATTTTACAAAAAGCCGGCAAAATTCGAGCATAAAATAGCTATTTATACAATAAGTTGCGAAATGAGCGTCTTTTAGGCACGCGACGTGAAAATTGTCCAACGAGGCAAAGCCGAGTTGGACAACACGTCGAGTGACTAAAAGACTTCGTTTCGTAACGTATTGTATACAAGATTTTTTCTACTGGCGTTTCATAATAAAAAAACACAATTTTATTTCAATGTTTGTCACCTGCTTTTGCTTGACACCTTTCATGGTGGTGACTAATATTCATAATAAATACAAAACAAAATTCAAATCTGTGTTTAGTGTGTTTTTTATTTCTGAACAATGAATGACACTTTTAGGCACTAGTGCTTAAAAGTTACTTTTACGCACTTGAAAGTCACTTTTACGCACTTGAAAGTTACTTTTACGCACTTAAAAGTCACTTTTACGCACTGAGTGCTTAAAAGAATGTCGTTTCAAAACTAAAATGACAATCGAAAAGTTGCTATTATGAAACGTCAGTAGAAAATATATTTTTCGTTATGCCGACACCAATGCAGACAAATTAATAAAATGCCGGCAAAACAAGATCAGAAAAATATATATCATGTTGTGCCTGATTATTTTTAGGAATTTTACAATTTGCCAAAAACGGTGCCGTCGAAACGTGAATAGATATAAAACAAGTCGACTTTATTCGATTGAAAAGTACATTTTAGGTTAGGTTTTATCCGCTACCCTCTCCGAATTTGATGATTTTTTGTAGGAAGGTATAATTTCAGTCGCTAATCACGAATCTGAAATCCGTTTCTGTTGCTCGAGTTTCGTTTCCGAGATATCCATCATCAGGTCTATTATGTTTTATCTTCTCTGAAACTAACCAAAAGTAGGGGAGAGTAGGGAGACTTGATCACATGGGAGACTTGATTCCCCATTCAAATCTCGCGCTCAATTTATTTTTTTGCGACAATATTGGCAACAATGCATGGAGCCGACCTCATGTTAGCTTGTAAACAACATTTAGTTCAAGACGCGCCGATTGTCGGCATGGTGTAAAAATTTTGTGGTTTTTCGGATGTGAAACTTATTTTACGGTAAGTCAAATATTTGTTTTGGTTCATTACGATATTGCTTGACAGGGGATTGTGATTTGTGACTGGTTTCTATGCTTTCTTAGAAACATTTTGATATTTTTTGAAACCTGGTTTAAGGGGTTAGGTATTTAGTACTAAGGATATTAAAATCAAATGCATGGCGAGGAGAGTTGATCCCGGTTGAGAGAGTGAGACATGATCCCATGATCAAGTCTCCCTTACTATTATTTTTGCCATTTATGTTGAGTACTTCGATTTTATTTCATTACAGATGCCAAGAAAGTATAAGCCAAAGGAAGGATCAACACCGAGAGTACTTCCTGATCCCGAAACCGTTGCAGCAGCTGTTGCAGATGTTCAAAATGGGGCTTCCTATAAAGGCACTGCAAAGAAGTACCATCTGAATGTTATGACGTTGAAACGAATAATCCGTAGGGGTGAAAATCGTCTACCTGGGTTTCAAAAAGCACTCATTTTTACTAGCGCAGAAGAAAAACAGCTTACGGACTACCTTCTGCATGCATCCCGCCTAAATTATGGTCTACCCATTCTGAAATTGAGGGAATTGGCATACGAGTTTGCAATTGCAAATAGTAAGAAAATTCCGACCTCTTATGGGACAAAAAAAAATTGGCTGGCCGGGATTGGATCCGAAACTTTATGTGCAGAAATCCGGAGCTGTCTCTTAGAAAACCAGAGCCAACTAGCTTAGCGCGTAGCTCAGCATTCAACCGACATACCGTTGACACATTTTTCGAGAAATTAAGAACTACGATCCACAAATACCAGTTTACACCTGAGAGGATTTGGAACGTCGATGAAACGGGTGTGACAACCGTGCACAAGCCATCAAAAATTATTGGACAGAAAGGTGTCAAGCAAGTGTCAAAGGTAACTTCGGGTGAAAGAGGACAGCTCGTAACTGTTTGTTCTGCAGTGAACGCATGTGGAAACCATATTCCTCCATTTCTTATTTTCCCCCGAGTTAACTGGCAAGATCGCATGGTGTTAGGTGCACCACCGGGTTCGGCAGGAGCATGTCATCCATCTGGGTGGATGACAAAAGAAAATTTTGTCAAGTATTTGGCACACTTTAAAAAATATTCCAACTGTAGTTCTGATAACAAACACCTCGTTATCCTTGACAATC